ATAACTTCATATATATGTAACTGTACTCTGATAACTTTATATATATGTAACTGTACTCTGATAACTTTATATATATGTAACTGTACTCTGATAACTTCATATATATGTAACTGTACTCTGATAACTTTATATATATGTAACTGTACTCTGATAACTTTATATATTTGTAACTGTACTCTAATAACTTCATATATATGTAACTGTACTCTGATAACTTTAAATATGTAACTGTACTCTAATAACTTTAAATATGTAACTGTACTCTAATAACTTTATATATATATATATATAAGACAATCACAGAATCTGACCAACAGCTGATAGAAAAAGTTTTTTATTATACGATCCGCTGACTGTGATGACATCACAGAACAGGAAATGGAAGACAAACTGAAGCATTAAAGAGAGGTCAAAGGTCACTGCAGTGTTCTCAGTTATTGATCCAGTATTGATCAGAATATCTCTGTTTTTACACACATGAACCGTTCTGACACAAAAATTTGTTTTGTTCTAAAAAACTTTCAAAGCTGAAAAAAACATCCAGTTCCTCTTTTAATTTGGAGCCTTCATCTGTTTTTATTCACCTAAACGTCCTGATGAAAACAAACCAACAGATGAGTCACTTTCACTGTAGTTTTGTGTTTCACTTCTGTATTTATAATATACAATGTGTATATACAGTAGATATAAACAGAAAACCTCTAAAGAAAGTTTTATGTGTAAAAAGAGAGAAAGAAATATCTGAACAATTCTGAGATTGAAGTAAAAAATGTATTTTTTTCTCAAAAATGTTCCTTTTAATATCTGTATGCAGCGCTGATCGTTTCTGGGGATCAATACATGTGATAGATCAATGAGTTCAGTAACAAAAACCAATAATAATAAGCATAATAAATGTATTTTTGCATAGCGCTTTTAGCAAAGTTACAAAGTGCTAACAAACAAAAACAAACTTCATTCAAAAACACGTTTTAACACAAACTGACAGAAAAGCAGTGAAATGATAAAAAACTATTCCAAAACCACAGAAACAAAGATTATCAGTTTTATTCTTCACACATGAATGATTATCGGTTATTGATGATTGATTATTGATATTTCAAATAAAAGTTTCTTCTGATTGAACAAAATCTTCCTGATTTTGTTTATGACACAGGAAGTGATGTCGTGTTGAAAATGAATAATCAATAATTTGATTGATTTTATGTTGTTAATAATTATCATTAATTGAATTGATCTTTCACCATTTTGAGGACATTCTAAATAGTGAAACATACAAACAGCTGTGAGGTCATATTGATCGTCAGATATTGATCATCAGCCAGAATACGATTAAATTATAAAAATTGATCAGGTAGATTTGTTTGAAATGGTGAAATTGATCTTTTTCTGCTCAAAGTTCAGATGGTTGAAGCACCTTTTAATCAGAAGAACAAACACAGAACATAAAGTGCAGCGGGAGGAGAGATCAATATCGAATAATAATCAATAATCAATAATAATACTGCAGCAGTGAGTCTGTAAACAAAACGTTGTCAGAACAACAACACTGTAAAAATCAAGTGATAAAATATTGATTGTGTCTCTGAACCGAGGCAGCCTTATTGATTATATTAATATTTATTGATAAATGTGTCTGACAGTCAGTTAATAACTGCCTGCACTTTAAATTCTCATTTAAATGATGCATTGATAAACTCAAAACAAATAAATATAAATGAAACGTAAATAAAATCATTAATTTATTTAACTTTAAGTTTATAAATGTATCATACCAACTGAACCAATTAATTAACACTTATTCTAATTAATCTATAATTCTTCCGGTGGCTCAAACACAAAAGCTGAATATGAATAAAAATCTTAAAAGACTGAAATATTTCAGAATTATACAAAAATAAGAATTCAAACAACAGTTTTCTCTCTAAAATCCTCTAAAATGTTAAAAATAAAAACGTTAAGCGTCGAGTGGTTTCAAAGAAAGATTGAATACAAAAATATAGAAAAGCATCAATAACTTCATTAATAACTGATTATCTGCAGCTCATCACTTCATTTTTCAGAAACACGAGGAGACATTGAATGCCTCACAGATTCACATTCTAACGTCTCATTTTATTAAATCATTTTATCTTAAAATAAAATGATTTTATTATTATATATGAACGTATTTATTTTTAAGTTCAGTTTCCTCACAGACAGTTTTACTTTACTGACAGTAACACACGTATGTGTGTGTATAAATACAACTATATCTATATATTTATATATATAAATATATGATATATTAATTTAAATATATATATATATATATAGATATATATATAAATATATATCTGTATATTCTGAAGTTAAAATCAGCTGATTGGTCCTAAAACACCACAGAAGAAGAAGAGTGAATAAATAAAACAAGACGTGAGTTTCATCAGACACAAACATGGAGGTCGAAGGAGCAGATCAATACCAACATTGATTATCAGAGAGCCTCTGTGGCCGATACTAGTACATTTTATATATTTCTAATATATTTGTTTTTTTTTTAAAGGAGGCACCAACAGAATCATTCATTATTGAATATTGATGTGAAATCAATATTTCGTAGCAGTAGACACATTGAAGACGAGGCGGAAAAACAGAAAGAACATCTTAAACGTTTTAAAAATCAATTGATTATTTTAAGACAATTAATGAATTATTAATGGGCACTCTTTATTTGAATATGATGATGATAATGAGAGCTGCAACAATCAGTTAATTAATTGATTAGTTGTTAAATATTCAGTGAATCTCCACCTGTTATTTTAATTTTAATTCTTTTAATAAAAATGTCTAAATTCTCTGATTTCAGATTCTCAGTGTGGAAACTGAACATTTGACATTTTATAGACAAAACAACTGATTGATTAATGGAGAAGATGATTGACAGATTAATCAATAATGAAAACAATTGTTAATTGGAGCTCTGCTGTTAATTGATTCACATAAACGATTAAATGGTAATAATGTGAAATGTTTTCTATCGGGTCAGAACTGATAACTGATAACTGTATTGATCAGCAGAGCCTCCGTACATTCACTCTTTGGACTAAAAGTCAGTTTTAGAAACATTAAAACATTTAAATTAAAATATGAAAAACACGTTAGACATCATCAGGACTCCGTATCAGCGCTGCTCTTCATCATCATCGTCATCGTCATCATCATCATCATCATCGCTTTCTTTCTTAGAAAAACGTTTCATCACGCTGCCGAAACTCCTGCTGAGCTGACAGCAGCCAGAGTTAACGAGGAGGAGGAGGAGGAGGAAGAGGAGGCGTGCTGGAAGATTTGAGCTGATTGACAAGCAGAGAAACTTTCCTGAAGACGTGTTTCCACAGGTTTGATCCTCCTCCTGCGGCGAGAGGAAGAGGAGGAAGAGGAGGAAGAGGAGGCTCCGTCTACAGCAGCATACACCTGAAGAAGCTCTTTTTAGAGCGAGACTCTGTGATTTTAACGGGCCCGCCTCCTCCTGGCGGGTTGCTGTCGTTCTGCAGGAAACAAACAACACAAAGAGGTCAAAGGTCACAGAGACGACCTCTGGTCCAATCAGCTTCAGACGAGAGATCAGATGATTGGGACTTCCTGTGATGTCACTCTGAGGTGATGATAAGATTTTATTACTTTAAGATGATTGGATATTGAAAATATAACTTAGTTGTAGCTGATTGGACGAGAGCACCGACTGCTGGGCTGTGATTGGTGGACAAACATGTCCTGAACTCTTGTACTGATGCCTGTCAATCAAACTGTGACTTTGTGATGTCACTTCCTGTTTATCTAAATATGGTCTGTTCACACTAAAAGCATTAGTATTGTTATAGTTATTCACAATAATTCTCCCAGAATGCATTGTGAATGTTTGATTGAACGTATTACATAATTTCCTGTTGACTGTCGATACTTTCATTACAGTATGTAACAGACTACTGTTACTGTAGATATTAATAATAAAACACCATCAAGCTAAAAGTTACTAAACTTCAATCAATCAATCAACTGCAGATAAAGATTCAAAAGTTATGTTTCTGAGCGGTGCACTGCATTGTGGGAGGATACTGTGATCAATAAACTGATCTCAGTTCAGTGTTCAATCTGGCTTTCAAAGTAAAAGCAAATGTAGACTTCACAATAAAACTCACCATTTTTCTGTTTAGTCTGCTCATGATGTCTCTGCCGAGTGTGAAAAAGGCCTGTGGAGGATTTCATCTGTCAGTCTGTGCAGGGGATGTGATGATGTCATGTGATGATGTTATGTGATGATGTCATGTGATGATGTCATGTGACGATGGTCTGATCCTCACTCACCTCCTCCACGTTGATGCCAGACTTTGCGCTGGTTTCTAAAAACTTGATCCCGTAATCGATTGCCAGCTGAACGACAAAAGGAGACGTTTACATTAAACACAGAACATCTGGAGACTGACTGTGAACATCTGGAGACTGACTGTAAACATCTGGAGAAACATCTGGAGATGAACGTCGGAGACTACTGTAAACATCCGGAGAATGAATGTAATTTGGAGGCTGACTGAACATCTGTAGACTGACTGAACGCACTGGATACTGACTGTGAACATCTGGAACTGCACTGTGAAACATCTGGATACTGACTGAACCGTCTGAACTGACTGTAAACATCTGGGAGACTGACTGTGGAAACATGGAGATGACTGTAAACCATTCTGGAGACTCGACTGAACATCTGGAGACTGACTGAACATCCTGGAGACTGTAAACATCTCGGAGACTGTAAAACATCTGGAGACGAAGTCTGCGACTGACTGAACATTTGGAGATCAGACTGAACGTCTGGATACTGAACTGTGAACATCTTGGAGACCTGACTGAAGCATCTGGACGACCTACTGGTGACATCTGGAGACCTGACGACCTGCTGGAGACTGACTTGTAAACATCTGGAGACTGACTGAACGCTGGCGAATGACCTGAACATTTGGAGACCGACTGAAACGTCTGGATACTGATGTGAACATCTTGAGACTGACTGAACATCTGGAGACTGACTGTGAAACATCTGGAGATGAACGTCTGGAGACTGGACTGTAAACATCTGGGACTGACTGACGTCTGGCGCTGACTGAACATTTGGAGACTGACTGAACGTCTGGTTACTGACTGTGAATCATCTGGGAGACTGACTGAACATCTGCAAGACTGACTGAACATCTGGCCAGACTGACTGTGAACATCTGGAGACTGAACGTCTGGAGACTGACTTGTAAACATCGGAGACTGACTGAACATCTGGGATCACTGTAACATCTGTGGACTGAACATCTGAGAACTGACCCGTAAACATTTGGAGACTGACTGAACTCTGGAGACTGAACTCTGGAAACTATTGTAAAATCTGGAGACTGAACGTCTGGAGACTGACTCGAACATTTGGAGATGAAAGTCTGAAGACTGACTGTGGATATCAGGGACCTGAGCAACATCTGATACTGACTGTGACATCTGGAGATGGACTGTAAACCATCTGGAAGACTGACTGAAACATCTGGAGACTGACTGTAAAAACATCTGGAGATGAAACGTCTGGAGACTGACTGTAAACATTTGGAGACTGACTGAACGTTGGAGATTGGACTGTAAACCATCCTGAGGACTGACTAACATCCTGGAGACTGACTGAAAATTGGAGACTGTACCGTCTGGAGACTGACTGTAAACATGTGGAGACTGACTGAACATCTGGAACTGACTGAAATCTGGAGACTGACTGTAACATTCTGGAGGACTGAACGTCTGGAGACTGACTAAACATTTGGAGACTGACTGAACATCGGAGATGACTGTAAACATCTGGAGACTGAACGTCTGGCGACTGAACATTTCGGAGACTGACTGAACGTCTGGATACT